GCATTCCTGAATGCTTTAAACTCTACAAACCAGAAGCTAAATATTTTAATTGGAAAGATGAGTTAAGACTGCTAGGGTAATAATTAAAAATAGGCAGGTAGAAAATAAATGTATGTTCTTCTTTGCTAAATGTTGCTTACTAGAATCCTACTATATATATTTTAATGAACCACTTGTTGAGCATGCCTCTGGGAAATGAATTAAATTTAAAGCTGTATTAAAAGAAGCAAGAAAAATCTAAGTAGAACACAATCTTCCAGAATATTAAGCACAAGAAACTTGAACTCTTCTTATGAGTAAGACCCTTGAGTATGGAAAGGAACATGAAAATCAAAACAAAAATCCAATCCTGGTTATGGATAAGACACAAGAATAAAATGTTAGTTGAGTGTTTAGAATTTGAAAAACAGGTCATGAAGGCACAAGAAAATACAAGGCTTCTGTTGCAAAATCTTAATTCAAAACATTGAGATCTGGTTTGCTTAAGAGGACAATGATGTACTAGAGAATCTGAGCTTAATTTCTACTGAAGTACCGTGAATTCAGCTCCCTTTTCTACTTTAACAGTACATGTTCCTTAAATATTTTTTTCCCTTTAATTAATTCATCAGTGCTCCTGCCCTGAGTATTCCTTTTAATGCTTCTGATTGTATAAATAGATATTCACACAACTTTTAAACTTTTTTCAAATGAATTCACAAATTCCTATCTAATTCCGCTCCCCTCCATTTAATAATTTAAGGGATTTCAGGTTTAAACACATACTCCAGCTTTGCAGGAAGTCTGATGCCTTGCAGAAAATGTGTTATTCTCCTAGGCACCCTAGTTTAGTGCCTTAAGAAGAAAGCATCCTAGGTTCTCAAGGGAAGAATAAAGAATCATTGCAACCCTTGCAATAGATATAGAATGATGTTTTTATCACTCTAAAGCCATCAGACATTACAAGCAAAATGGACAAAAATGAACACATACCTCACTGTTTGAGCTTTCAATGAATGACCCTCCAAACATAGCAGACATCCATTCACAGCTACAGATCAGCAGTGGCTTGTGGGCATTTATGGTTCCATCATCCAATTTAAATGTCACATCTGCCAGGCGAACAAGGAAACAGGTATGCTGCAAGTCTGTACTTAAAGTAATTAAAGTGTATTTAAAGTGTTAACTAGGGACTTCTTTCACTTCCTCTGATGCCAACCCTGAAGATAACTAGTATTTTGTATAATTATATAAAACACCTCACTTAAAAGAGAGATACTGGCCATTTAACACTTTGGAAAATTTGGTTTCTTGTATAAAAGCTTGTGTGTAGATTTTCAGAAATTAAGCTGCAGAATCCCAGGCTGGAACAGTTGGCCCTCAGTAATCCTGTAATTTTGGGTTCATCCCTCCTCTCAGAACAATGTGAGCTGTCATAATTTTTTAGTTCTGTGAAGGAACATAACATGAATTAGAAAAGAATTAGTGCATTTCATTTTAAAGCACGTATTTCCTTACCAGAAAATGTCCCTTTTGAAAGGCACTCTTTTATCCGATTAGCTTTTCTGACATGAAATGCTTTAGTAATCTCCTGGTTCATGAAGGCTTCTTTATTCATAATATTCTCCACCATCATCCGCAAATCAAATACTTCTAAGATTTCAGCAATCTGAGCCAGTCTTGTGAGATCTTTTTCATTTTCATCCAGTTGCCCTGTGTATAAAAACTGCAAAACAGTTTTAAAAGGTCCAGCCTGCACAGATGAATCCATTTTTACCACAGTAACAGGACATGTCCTATTCGATACAGGATTCACTTGCATTTCCTTATGCACACTAAGAAACCCCTTTCCACAGGATGACAGAGATCTTGCTGCAGAATTTGTTTCACCAGGTTCAGGTTCTAGCATGTTTAAAGAGTCAGTACTTTCTGGTGGGGGAGTTTTAACATCAGCAGATTTCAAGGATGTTTCATCACTGTCAACATTTGTCTCAAGGTAACTTGTCAGAACTTCTTTATTTGTATTTTCCTTATTATACTGTGTTTCATCCAAGTCTGGACTTTCCTCACATTCCATTAAGAAAAGGTCATAAAACTTTGAAGAGGAGGTAGCTAGGTAAATCTTGTGAGCAAAAATGCAGTCCTGCTCCTGGAGAACAAACATAACATCTGCACAGAGTGGGCTGTCCAATAAATATCCAGCTTCATTCATGCTTGGTACAGGACACTCTGGAATTTTGATGACTGGAGGAGGAGCTTTTGGAGGTAGGAATGGAGCCTGAAGCAAAGGTTTTTGGACCTTCTTCAAATGAGATTTCCAGAACTGCAGGTGTCTTCTGGAGATCAAGGCAGCTCTAATTGCATTGTCAAACACATCTTTAATCCCAAACTGGTCAAATACACTCGTTTCATAGTATGGTATCCCAAGTTCCTTGGCAACCTCTCTGCCTTTTTCTGGTGGCAAAATGTCTCCTCTTTTTATTGGCCTGGGGTTAAAATAAATAAATAAACCTTCTCACAGCAATCATCACAAAGTTACTTCAGAAAGCATGGAATATTACAAAGTGTCCAACTATCAATTCTGAGATAAATGCCATTCAAAAGAAATAAAATGTTAAATTAAGCCCATAAAGCCCTTCGGAAACCTACAACTATTATTCCAGAGAGTTTTAGAAAAGCACATGTTTGTAATTTTAAGTTTCATGTTATCTTTGCTATGTTACTAAAAGTAAACAGAAATCATTTGCACATAATGGAGCAACCCTTCTCTCTGTTAAGGGGAAATTTACAGTAAAAGAGTGGAGAGGATGCTTCAGAACTTTTTGCTATTTAAAAAAAACCCTCCTCACATCCCTTTCTACTCAGGAAGTCTGTCAGCTTCTTTGTATCCATTGTTTAAACTCAAAATTGAATTTCTCATGACACAAGTGCTGCAAATATAGCTAAATACGAAATGAGAACTATTTCTTAAGCTTACGTTTTTTAAGGAAAATTGTAGTGGCTTATGAAAGAAGTGTAACAGAACATGCACTTCAAAGCATAGGCCTGCTTTGGCTGTAGAAGCATTATGTGCAAACTCATGTGTTTCCAGAGCTGCTCTAGTACACAATGTAGGGTAAATAAACCAGAAAAAAAATCTGGGCTAGGATCCATTTTCCCAACAGAAAAATAATCTCACCAGAAGACATGACCCAACAGTGTGTTCTCTGAGCATACCATATTGAGCAGACACAAGCTGGCACAGACTTCACACACTCCAGACAACAGCTTGCTTTAGTTACCAGCTAATAATCAGTTCAGGTGGCAGAATTCTGTACTAGACATGTAGAGTACTGATTCAAATTTTATTAATGGTGAAATCAGAAAGGATTAGGGCAGAAGAAGAATTTTGAGTTTTGAAAAAACTTTTCATTTTAAAGAGTGAACCAAAAAGCCCACCACACCTGCACAATGAAGAAATGTTTAATAAACAGAACTATGAAAATGCAGTGTTTTCTAAGAGCCCATAAAATATTAATTCAATCCCTTTATGGAAATTTGTTACAATAGAGTCTTTAGTTACATAATCATGGATATTACTTCTATGAATCTTGTCTCATTCAAATTTACATAAAAGGAGAAAATTAGAAGCGTGCAGGTAACTGGGATTGTTTTACCCAAATACATCGATGCTTGTCTTTTGAATCTGGGAAAAACAAAGCTTCTCCAGAATGACCCTAAACACTCTTTTAATCTCAGAACTTTAAAAAAAATAATTTGCAACCACTTGTTTTCTGCCAATATCTAGCATTACACTTAGAAATGATAATAGTTGAGAATTAAGAAAACTTGAGTAAAATCTGTCATTTTAAAACAGTACCTGACAATAGTGACTGGGCAAGATGTGATACACATGTTCAATTGGAGAAAGACATATACAAAAACCTCCAGTAATCATTATTGTCTTTATATTATTGTAATGTTCAGGCACCCAAACAAGTTTAGATGTCCAATGTGCAAACATATTGTGGGACACATAATAAGTACTGTATGTTAAAGAACTAACCAACTCAGATTCAGAATTAAAAAGAAGAAAGCACATTTATTCTTATTTTTAAAAAAAAAAATAAAAATATTAAACTAGGCTCTATAATTTCTCTTTTGAAAGTACTGCACCTGATTATCAATTTTTTTTAAATTCTGACTTTTGTTTAAACTTTACCTTGCCAAAGGCCGCCTGGCTCTGTTTACAGCCTCAAGGTCTGCATAGCGGAGATCGAGTTGGCAGCCCACCAGGATGACAGGTGTGCGAGGACAGAAGTGCTTGATTTCTTGATACCACATTGTTTTCACATGATTCAGGGAATTAGGATTAGCAATTGAAAAACACAGAACTACAACATCAGACCTAGAAAGGCAACAAGAAATTATCCAATTAAAACTCATCAAACATGCTTTCTGCTGCAGCTTCACCTACTTTCATCACTCCATCTTAAAGCTACTCCACTCGATACTTTGAAAAATGCACTGACACCCAGATGCCAGGATACATGTTGTTTGTGCAGGGTTTGATAGAAGCTGCACATTTCACTGCAAAAGCATGGGAGCACAAAGCCATAGACCTAGGAAGCACTGTCTCTCTATGCCAAGATGATCCCTGCATATATGAACAGAGCACAAAGAAGAAAGGCAGGGCTTGTCATTCTCTACTTATACATTCACAAGTTGTCATTGCTTAAGAAGTAATTCTGCTGATTGGACATTGAAATTGCAATTCTGTGATCACTGGTGTTTAGGAATTAGAAAGACGTTATACAAAACTTCAGAACAGCCACACAGGCAGACACAAAACCGCTTCTGAACTTCTTATAGAAAAATTTCTTTATTGCATCCCTTTTAGATACTGAGGTTGTCTCCTTTGCAATGTGCTTTGCACAGCAATTCTCTGACATCTTTAATAAATAACCTGTTAAAAGGCCAAATTACTGCAGAAGCACCACTTCTACAATATAATTAATAATAAACATTATGATAAAAATAAGAGCAGTAAAGTGTAGAATAGGACAGTGGCTTATATCACAGGAAGCATGAAAAGATTTGCAAGCTTTTAAGGGCTTTGAGGAGAAAAAAAGTACTTTACTAAATGAACTTGCTTTATAAACTGCAAGTATGAGGATTAAGGTTGACAGTTCATTCACTAAACTACCACCTCACTCTTGTCAGAGCTAGCATCCTAAAGCAGAACAACGCTTGAATACTTGTCTCAAGGCATTCCTAACTTGGAGCAATTTCGTTATTTATAAACTGGGATGTGATGTTGCAAGCAGCTCTCAAGTTCTTGGGTATCTTTTGGGGAAAAAAAAAATATTTAAAAAATTAAAATTGATGGAAACTCTCAAGATATGTCATATCTAGAAACAAGGCCTTTTCAAGCTGGAAAGTTATCTGCCAAATAGTGAAGTAGTAAGTAGTTAATATACTGATCTTTTATGCAACTGAGGCAAATACCCTTTAAACTCAAATTTGCCCTGTTCGAGGTCACTTAAGAGTATAACTCAGACCCTAGCAGACATTGCCTGGAAAGGGTAACTCTATGTATAGCTAAGATGTAAAAAAAATAATGTTATAGATATTCTAATCAGGTCAATTGTTTAATTCAAGATCATCAGGACTGCCAGAGAGGCAAGTGTCAGCTGTCTGGGTGGTCATAACTATAACTAAGCATCTCAGAGAGATGGAATATCTAGTGCCCTTCAGAAATTAATACCTGAGCCAAGCAACTGCAGTCACAATTATCCAACCCTCCTGACTCTACGAATGACAAGGCACACATCACATAGCTCAGAAAGCCAAAAGGAAACAGCTCCAGCAGGACTTCACAGTCAGGAGAGCAGAACAGCTCCCTCACAGCGCTGCTGCTGACCAGTGGTGGGCTGGCCACAGACCTGGGCTCCTGAGAAGAGCCAGTGATGATGTATTTCCTTTGACAGGACAGGTCCAGACTATCCAGCAGACTGGCCCTAGCACAGCCCTGTGTGTGCTACAGCCCTTGCCAAGGGAGTGTCACATTTTTACCACAGAGGTGCATGTGGTTCTTGAGCAACTCATCACCTCTGACCTTCCCTGGGCAATCATAGAACGGAGCTGCAGAAGACTGATTTCTCTACAGGTAACTCACACAACACATAGTGTTGCACTAACAGGACTTTTCCATCTTACTGCCTTCATAATTAAGTCAAAACGGAATAAAGAGGTTAAGAAATGTGATTTTCTTGTTATTTATCCCATTCTAAAACCTGGACTTCTCCATAAAATGAATATCCTGAGAGTTCTGTACTGAACAGGATGAAATAAAAGGCCCTGTGCCATAATTAGGGCAGATGGGAAACCACTGAGTAGTGACAGTACTCACATGCTCACAAAATATATCCACCTTCTTATAATAAATTAAGTTTTCATTTAAGTCATAAGCACGATTTGTAGTTAGTACAAACTGGAAAGAGTAAAATATTAATAACTGTCTACATAGGACTGAATATTTGAGGAAAACTGTCTTTTAGAAACTTTAATTAAAATACCTACAGTTCCATTGAATGTCAAAGGCACATTTACAACTTAGTAATGCCTCAATATAAAGTTTGGTTTGACATTTGTTCATAAAGACCAGAACATGTCAGGTTAAAATAATACATTAATATTTCCCCAACATTAAAAATTTACTAAGATAACGCATTAATATTTCCAAAATATTAAAAATTTACCAATGCTGTTTTAATATTCTCCAGGAACATAAAAGGATAGGATTTAAAAGAAAGAAGATCTAATTTATTGCCTTTTTCTGCAGTTTGATTACTTGGAGAATGAGAAGGGATGAATTAGGTTTACTTCTACTTTCTTCTCTCCACAGCAATATATTCACAAATACAAGCTGCTTTATTCTAAAAATAAATTCCATAACTGTTTCCCAGTAAAATTCAGAAAATATTCAAGAAACATTTCCACAGACTTGAATATCAAAAAGTGCTTTAGCACTTCTCCATCACATTCCTCTTAGAGGACCATCCAACTGATCTGGCATATTGATAAGGCACTGTGTGCATCCACCTTTGTTAAATACAACAGAAGGATATAGCTACATTTGCTGCATATACTGATGTTTGATACGGAAGTATCACAAGAAACACAGTATTACAAATAACTCAGAGAAACTGTAGCTTGGATATCCAATACATTGTCTTGTAGATTCAGTGGTACGTGTTGGAAATGCTTAACTTACTTATTCTTACATTCTGCTTTTCACAGGTTTATTAAAAAAAATTGTGAATCATCTAATTTTATTATCTGAATCATCTGAACATACTTAAGTATAATGAAAACTTATAACTTTTGTGTGACTTGCTCTAGGGTGTGATCAAGCCCCAGTGAAACACACTGAATCACCAAGGTAAGAAAACAGGTGTCTTTCTACTCGCTGGGGCTTCAAACAGGGGAGAACAATGTACACATGTGGGACTTGACAGGTGGAAAAGGGAAACGGATTCTCTCAGCTATAGGCAAAATTATACCAACACTCACATGTTTATCACATCCTGGCTAACCAGACTCCTGCACTGGAGTCTCACATTAAAGCTTAGGAGCAGAATAAGAGCACTTCAAATGCTCCCCTTTCAGTCATAGAATTAAGTCTTAATGCAAAACATACACATCTGACATCAGTCTAGCCCGGTCTAAACATAGCTATGGACTTCTTATAGGAAACTCTTGTGGGCAAAGGAAGAACCTTACCACCATTGCAGGGAGCAACCCCTACCTGACGTAGGTATTAGCTCAGTGCATTCAAGCAATACTTTCCCAGACTGATAAGAATTTCTGATGGAAGCAACTGCCTCTTTAAACTTCAGAGAATGAAAAGAAACTCTCTAGACAACCAAATCTCTGGCAGGAATCTGGCACGGTGTTTTGCCGTCCTGTACACTCAAAGTGTGAGAGTTCTGAACGGTATCAGATGTAGAGAGCAGTCCAAGTCACTGCTGGAAAGCAAGCAGTATAGCACCAACAAAGACAACTTCAAATTATCAACCTGACTCTTCAGCAGTAGTCTGGAAGTTACCACAACAGCTAATCCTTAGACATGTATTTCTCAATAAAAAGTTGTTTTGCTTTTACTCCTTCTGCCCTCATGTTTTTCCCCTACACACCCCATAGTGTTCCCAAGGTTCCTCAGAGACCTGTATCAGAGCTGAACTTATCCCACTGAGACCAGAATTTGCTAAGAGCTATCTCTACTTTCTACCTGCATAGTCCTTCAACCACCTGAAAGGAAAGGTTGTGTAAGGCAGCAGCCTGAGTGTGAATCTCAGCTCCCAATTTCCCTCACACAACAGGTTCAGGCAGTAGAAGGCCATCTAAGAATCAGAATGAGAATCTCATTTATCACCAAACAAAACCCTGTTACATCTCCATGACAATCCAGATGCATTTTGAAGAGAGATTCACTCAGTTAAACAACATTTTTCATGCATGCATCTCACTGAACTGAAACAAAAATTGTGCAGATAAGCAAGGCCGATAATGTTTTTGGTTGACTCAGGTTTTAGTAAATGCAGTTGCAGCCATCACATAAAATGAGAAGGAAGAAATTAATTAAATGACTGGGAAGCATAACAAAATGACCTGAAGACACAGGACTTATGTGCACACACTCAAAACAGATGAGAGGCTAAGAAAACTAAAATGCAGGGAGTGCCTGCCATGTAAAGAACTGAAGATACCCAGGTAAGGCAGGGCAAGACCATGCAGTGCCCTGGACGTGAGCAGGATAATCAATTAGCTCTATACTTTACCAACAGCAGTGAAGCTTCTTAAGTATTGGTGTAATGTGCAAAATTGTCAAAAAGTCCTGAAATATATTCAGATTTTGTGGTGAGTAGCATGCAGATCTATTGCGAAAATTTCTGTAATGTCATTTTCAGTAGGAAACAACAGTAATAAAAATAATATAAAGCTACCTTTAAGAAAATTGCTTGTTTCAAGACTGTGCTTCAAAAGTGGAAAGAGTTTTCCCATACATTCCTTTCAAGCAATACATCATTCTAAAATATTAAGCAGTTTAAAATATCTTCTCTTTCCTTTGAGGTACTCATGGAAAACAGTGGTCCATTTACAGAGAATGATACAAAATGTTTCATATCCCAAAGAATGATGAAAACATCTCATTTTCCATTGCAGAAATGTGTAAGAGCTTCTCTTACTGTACAACTCCCTGAACAGCAATAGTACTAAAGAGAATGGCAAATTCATGTGGAACAATGTAACAAGAGGAAAACAAGTTTATTTTTAATTTAACGGGTGACTTACATAGTCTTGGAACTCTGTTCATTTTATTGCTGGCTACAAGAAGTAAATTTA